GATTCAGAAATTAAAATCTTAAAACTCTTTAAAAAACCCAACAATTCTCTTTCCACTATTAGTTAATGATTCAAGAATCTGGCTAATTCCTTGATCAGAAAATAATTTTCAAATGACCATTGTACAAAAGCCCCTGGCATATAATATTATAAACTCTGTCTTTGTGACAACATTTCTATTTGAGTAAGTACATCTTAGTATAGAGTTTCAGATGAAGCTGGACTGTGTGTGTGTGTGTGTGTATTTTTCCAGCTTTCTGTAGTTTTCATATGCCTTTGCCACTGTATTCTACCAGGCAACCTGTTCTCCACTCCATTTCTCAGGTGATGAATGAGTACCACATTTTCAGACCATAAGACGCACCTAGGTTTTAGAGGAAAATAGGAGCCAAAAATTTGAAGCAAAAAATGTGGTAAAATATTTAATAACATAAATAACATAATATTTCCCCAATGTAAATGTAAACAGAACTCAACAGCAGCATGAACAACCATTATTCCTCCCAAATTCTGGCGGAGGGAAGGTACATCTTATAGTCTGAATAATACGGTATATAGCATGGTGGGAAGTAGAGCATGAGTGAAACTCTTTCTGGCTATTGTTCTCCAAACGCCTAAGCCTTAAATGGCAGAGGGAAATGCCCACTAGCCCAGGGATTATTCTGTACTCCCCATGCTTCCCCATCTCCTAGTCACTAGGCAGGGTCATGTGACTTGCTCTGGCCAATGGGCTATGAGTGGAAGCAAACTTATGAATGCATCAATATAATTGTATGTGTGTTTTAACATAAAATGCACTACATTGCATACATTTGTTCTATATACAACTTGATTATTAAAAAACTCAACAATATATCTTGGAGATCTTTCTAGCATATAACAAATAAATTTATTCCTTTAAACTGCTATCATATCACAATGATAACATTCAGATGATTTCCATTATTTTGCTATCACAGAAACACTTGTACATTCTCAAGGAAACCTGGAAGTGGAATTTTATGGCAGAAAGTTATGTGCTTTTCCAGATTTTAAAACAATGATTTAAAATATACTCTGTTAAATTCAATTTGCTGTATTTTTCCTAGGATTTTTAAAATTAGATTCATCAATGAGGATGTCCTAATGCTTCTAATGTTATCATCTTTCTCTCTTCTTCACTCCTTAAGTCGTGGGAATACTTACCTAAATGGTCAGATTCCAGGATGTTGATGGTGATGCGTTTACAAGCGTTGAGACATACACCTGGGTGTGGTTCTTTTGTGGTGCTTAGGTCTTTCTCCAAGGGGAAAAGAAGGCAGCCAGAACAAAGTGTACCTCTTCTGGTGGGCAGAGCCTCTTCTCTCTCTTCCTTGCACATAAGCAGTGCCACACATGTGCCCCTCCTGGCTTGGCAAGGAATAGTAGAAATTTCTGAGCTTAGAAGAAGAGAGGTCCTAGCCTGTGCCTCAGCCCCATGCCCCTACTGGGTTGCCCCTACAGCATTGCATTAGGGTTAGAAGGACCTCAAATAAGGAAACGCCTTATGGCCACTGCCATTGTCAGGCGTGCTCACTCCTCTCTTCAGGAATCATAGGAAGAGGACAACCAGGCCAAGGCAAGATCCAGGCTCATTCCTGAATATCTTTTCCATGTAATGAAAATTTCATCCCAGGAGTATTGTTTTTGGCAGCTTGTAGTATAAGTATCTGTTTTGAAAAGTAATTTTAAATTTCCAAGTATTCAGAGCTTTTTGTTTAAATATTTTTGTTCAATTATTCTTAATTTAGCTATTGGGATATGATATAGACATTAAGGCATCCAGTTCACTTAGAAGCATACCACATTACAAAGGTGTTGGTTAACAGGAAGTGGGAGAGAACAGTAATTAGAAAATAGACCTGCTTTATGCCATTTAAAATTGAATTGTGAGGTGTCAATTCCAGCAAGGTTTCCATTGTGGCATTAATATCCACTTCTAAGTGAACTCTGTACAACTGAAATGACAAAAAAATTTCTTTTGGAGAAAACTAAAACCAACAATTGATCAACACAGCATATAATTAAGAGGGCAGGGTGTTGAGGCAGGCTGCCTGGTTCAAATTCTGGAGCCACCATTTACTAGCTTGAGTGGTGTTGGAGAAGTTGCTTACTCCTGTGCTTTAGTTTATCTATAAAATGGGGATAATTATAGTATTTCCCTCATGGAGCTTTCATAAGGATTGAATGAAGTGATACATTTAAAGTGTTTACAACATTGTCTGGCACTGAATAAATTTTAGTTATTATTTTTAAGTACTGATCATCACTGCATCATCAGGGTAGAACAATTATACCTAAAACCTATTCCTCACAAAAGGTGTTAGATGGAAGAGTCACAGGTCTGAATTCACGTGACAAATAATAAACACTGACCTGAAGAACATGGCAATATATACAAAGTGTCTGTTTAGGCTTTGCCATCCCTTAATCCAAACCCCCTCTCTCAGGCAGCCCCTGACAGCCAAACACCCTGGACCAATAGTGCCAACCAAGGTTCACCAGTGACTGCTACCTGATTTAGTTGCTCTATTTCCCCACTTTCCTTGTTCCTTCCTCTTCAGAAGGAGTGCTTATTTTTTATTTTTATCTCCGACTCTTTCTCATACATATACATAATTCTCTTGAATGAAAACTCTACTGTTCTCTGGTTTCAGTTTTTGTAGTAGGCTTAGGATAATTGCTTTTCCTCCTTTTATTTCATTTATCACCCCTCTATTCCCCAACTCCTGAGATTCTAATCATGATCACAAGGCCAATTAGTGCTAGTGATAGACTTAAAGAAAAAGAAAAACCATTCAACCTGTAAATAGTCCAATAACAATGTAAGGGCTGTCACAAGGCAGTACAAAGTTGCCAAGTGTGATCTGACAACTGATGCCAGTGTGATACTGACAACTGACAGAGGGAGAGAAATTATTGGAGCTAGAGTGTCCATGGAAGGCTTTGTGAAGAGAGAAGAGCTTGAGCTGACCCTGGGGGGCTGTGGCTCCCAACTGTGGTAATCCAGGTGAAGGTGGTGGTCTGAGTAAAGGCACCTGTGGTCAGAGGCAGGGACCAGGTTAGTCTCTCTACTGGAGAGTTTGAGTTGTGGGCAGTGGGCAAAAAGACTGAAAGTATAATCTAAGCTCTGAATGGTAAACTCAGGTCAGACATTACTTTAAGGATGGGTCTGATATGAGAAATGTCAATTCTGAGGTTGAGGGTAGGATACAAATTACCTGTTAACTGTAAATTCAAAACAACTTTGTTAAAGTTTAGTACAGTGGTATATCACACAACTATGCTAAAGGTATTCTTATTCTAAACCACTCAACAAACAAAAATGAGGTGAACCCTCCTGCAGCTATCTGAACTTAAGCCTTTATCAGCTCTGAACTCTTCAAAATGACCTAGACTTCTGCTCAATTACCTGTCTACAATTTACTAGTGGTTAACATTTTCATATAAATTTATGCCTGTAGGCACATGAACCTAATTGACAGAAACATAGAGTCATCTGCAGCTACTTGCATAAGTGGCAAGTGTCCTAGGGAAGGAGGAATGCATGGGGTGAAGGTGGGGACAGGAGTGCCTGGCGTGACTATGGAAGCTGTGGGTTTGGCTATGTGGATGCTCTGTGTTCTAAGTCACCCATGTGACACAGAAATATTAGTCTGGTAGGGTGTGGACAACAGGGATTAATGTGGCCTTGGCAACACATGTAGTCATGGCTACTGTATTACCTCCCTTCTGAATAGCATCTTGAGTACTGTTTTTTTTTTCTTTTGTTTTTAGTGATGAGGTTAAGTGCAATTTACAGGGCCAATAGTACACAATCAAATAACCATATGGAATGATTTGTGACCTGAGGTCAAGGCATTCAGTACTTTTTAGTTACAAAGGTATTAAAAGAATGCAGGAAAAAGAAATTCTTATTGGGGACGGAATTATTCAGTTTCAATATTAACTATGTTTTATTAGATCTTTGACTCAAAACCCTAGAAATAATCTGGTCACTTTTTTTAAGTGACAATCTTTTTTAAAAAAAGATTTTATTTAATTATTTTTAGAAAGAAGGGGAGAAAGAAGAGGGAAACATCAATGTGTGGTTGACTCTCGTGCACCCCCTACTGGGGACCTGGCCAGCAAGCCAGGCATGTGCCGTGGACTGGGGATCTAATGGGCGACCCTTTGGTTCGCAGGCTAGCGCTCAATACACTGAGCCACACCAGCCAGGGCTAATCTGGTCACTTCTTTAGTTTTAAATTTTTAAATAGAGTTTAATATGCCTATATACTAAAAACAATAATAGCCTGTGGGATCTTAACGATTTAAAGAAGCTTTTCATAAGGACAATTTTGTTTACCAGTGATTGAAATATCACAAGCATATATTTCAAGCTCTTTTCTTACTTGAAAAGGAAAAGCTAAAATACGGGTTAAAAATAAAGCTGAATGAAGAAAGTGATGTCTATAGGAATTCTCGTCTAAAGATAAGAGTATTTTTTTGATAACTGCAGCCCCTGCCTCCAAAATTGGAAGTCTGAAAAACTGCAGCTCAAGGTGCCTCCTGTCTCGGCTCCACCCTCGTTCTGGTAGAGCGACCTACACCTGCCCCAGCTTTTTAAGCTTCTTTCTCTAAACTGTAAAATAAAGAAAATCTCTCTTCACAGCGTCGATGTGAAACTTAAAGTAAGTGCTCTGCACGCTGAAAAGTCAGTACAGAAGTTAGTGATAACGTTTTCTACGAAGGGCTGGCCTCCCAGTCTTTGGCGCCTTCCTCGGTGATAGGCTCGCACCCGCGCCCCATACCCGGCCTCGTCTGTTTGTTAATTTAATTAATTAACGTTCGTAACCGTCGTCGACTTTCCTGGTGACAGCAGGTGCAGAGGATAGGCCCACCCTCCCTGTGCGCTAACTTGCGCACCACGCCACCCAGAACCCGCCTTGGAGCTCGGTGGGGTTTCCGAGACCGGGTCCCTGGTCCCGCCCCCCGCTGGGGCGCTAGGGAGCAGGGCTGGCTCCCGAAGCCGCTCGGTGATTGGCGCTGTCCGAGCAACCGCGGGGCCTCGGTAGTCAACTAGCAGAGCGACCAGTTCTGGGATCACAAGAGAAATCGAGCGGCTGAAGGCCTTGGCGTCGAGTGCGGACTCTTCGCGCGCCGTGGGGCACTGCTTATCACCCAGAGGGATGCGTCCCTCCCCCACCCTCCCCGGTCTGAGGGCCGGAGGAGGCTGGGCCAGAGGCTGCTGAACAGGACCCGCCTGTCTTTCACCTGGCAGAAGCCTAGTAAGTGCGGGATGCCTTCCTCTCCACCGCGGACCCTCCAAGGCACCGAGAGCAATCTTGGAAATAGTTTTCAAGCTGGACTGCCCCCACTTGTAGTTGTGGAAACTGGCCAGAAAAGCGCAGCGACTTGACCCGACTCACTTAACTGTTTGGTACGTAGGTCGAGGCGGGGAAACAGGTAACCGGGACAGCGCCCCCAGAGAGCCCTTCTCACTACGCCCTACCCACAGGAAAGGCTCAGCTGGCTTCCCAGCTCCCAGCTGTGTCGTAGGCCAGAAGTAGGAAGACGAAGGCTGCTTGGGCTTTGGAGATAGCCGCTTTGAGCAGTAGGAGCACCAGGAGAAGTTTATTTCTGAGAAATAATCACAATATGAGTAATCTCAAACCCAGAGCCATCTGTTTGGATAAAGCTTTCTACAACTTCCTGACCTGGAAAGGCCGCTGGCTCCCTCTCATTCCTCCACACGTGTATGGTTTTCACAAGCACATCACTAAGATAAGTCCCATTTTCTTTTGCTCTTTTTATATGAGCATAAAATTTATATTTAATTTCTACTTGGAAACTAAATATTCTTGGGGGAATATTCATCTTCTTGGGAGCTCTTGTTTTTGTTTTGTTTTTTCCCCTCAGCAGTAACCTCCCCCCTGAAGCACCCCATTTATTCTCAGATTTTTTTTTCTTGGCCCTATTTTCTTAACTGTAGAACAGCCCATTTCACTCTATCTATGCCCTCATTTTTTGTGTGTAGATGAGCACAGCCTAACCCTGCCCCTCAAGGGCAGAAGAATGGGGTGGGGTGGGGGAGTGTTACAGTGGGGTATCCATGGGGCCTCATTCCAGCTTGCTTTGTTTTTGAAACAGTGATTCCAAAACTCACATAAATCACAAGATACATTCACCTAGCCCAGGGTTGTTTGTTTTTTGTTTTTTTTTAAGAAACTTAGCAAGGACATAGGAAGTCTTGGGTGTTGGTAGTAAAGCAGTTAGAAGTGTAGGAAATGTTTAAGATGAATTAATAGACTTTAAGTTGGGCATTGTACCTCAACCTCTGACCACATAGGACTTACTCTCAGGACAGTGACAGGGCACCTCTTGGTTGCCCAGCATGGGCAGACCCCAGCAGCCCAGGTTGGCTGTACATGCAGCCCCATCCTGTCCCTTTGGTTGGGGCCTTTGGACATGTGCCAGATTAATGTTTCTATTTTTCCCCAAACCCCCTGCCTTCTGGTCCATGCTTTCATCCTTTGACTTTGACTTCCTTTTCTCTTCTTCCACCCCCTCCCCATATATACTTTCTCTTTCTATTTAGGAAATCCTTTCTTATTTTCACAACTTTGACCCTTGGGAGAGCACTTAGGGCAGTGCTCAACTGGGATTTGTTGTTTCTTCTGGTTCCTCTTTCCCAATTTGTAATAACCTTAGATGAAGAAATACTGAATAATATTAATAATAACAGTAATATCCAGAAAATAATATGACTCTGTTTAAACAGACATCTATTTCCTAATCTTAGCCTTGTTAAAAATGTGAATCTTTGCCTTGTTTAAAAAAATCAGGATTCTCAGCAATTGTTTTTTTTTTTCGTTTTCACCAATAACTTTATTGATTTGGATATGTTGAGTATGTTGGCTATCTCTCACTATTGGCTTCTAATGGGCAGAGGCCAGGGCTGCTACTAAACATCTTCCAATGCACAAGACAGCCCCATAGCAAAGAATTATGTGGCCAAAATGTCAATAGTACCAAGAAACTTCACAAACCACTTTTGACACATTCCATCAGTCACAGCACCTTCTCCATACACTGCACAAATTTATTTTTTGCATTTCAGTTTTATTTTCATATTTCTCGAAATAATAAAGCATAATACATGAGAATGTTGAGTATTTTTTTCCATCTTGAATATTAAAATGGCTGCACAAAAATTCATCAATTTTGATGTTTTTATTTTATTTAAAGTTTTTTATTGTTGTTCAAATCTGAATAATCAATTTAATTCAACTTCAACATCCATGCAAAATGCCTGCTGTATATACTGTGCTGAGGACATCCATATAGTTTGTCCCTGTAGTCATTGAAACTTATTTTGGACTAGAGAGAACAAACCTGAAGAATTCAAGGCCACATTAGTGTAGTGTCATAACAAAAGCTAGGACTTTCTTAGGTGGAGGCTACAGAAAGTTGGTGAGGGGGTCTGGAGAGCCTTACTAGAGGCATCAGGGTTTGAAATTGGCCTTGAAAGGTAAGATTCCACACAGGAGAACCACAGGAGACCACCTTGGAAGAGGGAAAGCAGGGGCGCTGTGTTGGAGGGGTTGCTTGTCAGGTCACTTGGCAGCATGGCTGTGGCAGGCTTGCTTGCCCTGGCACAGGAGCTCTTTTCCTGTTTGAGTAGAAAGATCCCTTCTGTTGGAAAGAGTTGAGGGATCCCTTCTTCTGGAGATGCCTTTTCTCATTTCCTTCCTGTTTTCTCTGGATAAGTTTAGTTTTCCAGTTGCTTTCATTTCTCACAATGTGGGTATTCTCAAGCTAAAAAGACCTAAGAGTCAAGATCTGAGGGGGATTCTTATAGGTTCTCCAATACAATAGCATTAACCAGACTTTTTTTTATTTTAACTTTTTTTTTAAGCCATGTGAGTGCAAAAGGGACTGGCACACACCTTAGCTGGAGGATTCAGTTGTCTTTTTGGAATCAAGAATGTGTCCCTTCAGCTTAAAAACAAAACCTAATGATTCTTCTGAAACATCTTTTAAGTTTAGCGTTCTTATGATAGTGAATATAGCTGTATTCCCTTTTTTACCCTAGGGCATGTAGCTCCCTCTAGTAAGAATATAGAAGGTGGGTGAGTGTGTTTTGGGAAAGAGAAAGATTAACTGGAAATGATGAAATAAATAGTCAGAAATTTCTATTCTGAGCTTCCTTTTGTTTCTGTAGGAACCATTGTCCAAATGTAGTGTCAGTCCTTGCTGGACAGATCTCAAAAAGAAAGGTGAAGCATATATAGTCTGCTCCTGTTTGTTTTCACGTTCTTTGGTTCTAAAGTAGGAGGAGCTGAAACTTCATAGCTCAATATGACTGGGGCTTGGGGGTAAAAAGATGCTTGGAATAAAAGTGGCTATATGAAACAAAGCACAGTTACTAAAGGACAATGATTTTAAGTAATTTATTTGCATATAGCTTTTTCCAATATTTTAAGTGCCCATCCATGTAGAATTCCTGCATTGCTATATTTGCTCCTTGCAGTAGCCCTGGGAGTTAGGGAGCACAGGTGGCATTACCACTGTAGAGAGGGGAAGTCACTAAATATGGTGAAATGGACCTACACAGAGTTTTCATTCTCAGCTTTCCCACTCCCATATGATGCTGTCCATACACTATTGTTCTCATCAAATTGAGCCCTTGTAGGAAGAAGGCAAGATCTCCACCGATACTATGCATTTGTGTACCTTTGGAATTTAATGTATCTGGACAGTGCAAATTCACATAAACCTTAAAATGGACGTTATCCTCAAAAACTTGAAAATGACAAACCAGGAAGCTTATTGAGCCTAAGCTCTGAGAGAAAAAGGTAATTGCTCTGTCTTTGGTGAGGACCCGGGAGCCCTAAGAGAAAGCAGTTCTCCTGGAATGCACACCATTGGTAGGCCTGTACAATAGGACCAGGCTGGAGCTGGTCAGTTGTAATAGTAGAAGAGTGGCTAAGAAATGGCTTTGACTCCTGCTTCTGCCACTTACTGGCTGTGTATCCTAAACAACTTCTTTACATTCTTGAAGCTTCTGATTCCTGAAATGTAAGTAGGGTATTAGTAGTATGTAAGTGATATGGTTATGAAGAATTTATGAGATAGCACATATAACAAGCTAATCCCAAGGCCTGGCCAACCAATGGAAGCTTCCTGGTTGTTGTTAATATTATTATTAAGGCCACACAACATTCTGTGTTCTAGACTCTAGAGCCAGATGATCTTTTTTGGAATCTCATGAGGTTATGCATCTACCTGTTGTGAGGTGATGGGCAAATTAGTTAAGCACTCAGCTTGGTTTCCTCATCTGTGAAATGGGAATCATAGTAGGGCTACCTACCTCATAAGGTTATTAAAAGTATTAAATCTATACTACTCAGAATATACATAAAACTGTTGGCTAATACTGGTACTTCTAACTTCACAAAAATCTTAGCTTGGGTCCAACTGATTTCTGTGTTTGAAATTTCATGTAAGACTTTCAGAAAATACAGTTTTAAAAATGGGAAAAGGGAGCATTTCTAAAGTTAAAATTATTATATTCCAGGAAACTCACTTACATGCATTGCACACTGTGACTGCAGAAGAAAGTAGAGCTTTCTACTCTTTTGACACATCATCAGGCCCTTCCTGTGGTTGTGGTGGGTGGGTTAAGATGGCGTGACTTTGGCCACTCCTTTCCTCCTGTGTACACTGACTATATTTAGGCAGGTCTAGACAAGTTTAATATGTTGCATACTGGCTTGAGTCTGGTTGGTCCCAGAACAGCTGGCTACACAAGCCAGAACATTTTGGTTCAACTTTAAAGTCCTAGAGAAGAAAATATTCAGAAGGCGAGGCCATGTATTCTAGCTAGGCTGAGCAGCGGTCTGGTTCCCACCCTCTTACTAGCTTCCAGCTGGCCACTCAAAATGCAGATACGTGTGCAGACTCTTAGGTTTCATCCTCTTTACCTTCTTTGAAAGCATGCCATTATAATTGGAATACTGATGTGTAATGAAGGTTAAGAAGTGACTCTTTATTTACCAAAATCAAAAAGCTTTGTGTTTTTCTATTATAAAAATAAATTGTGTTTTAGAAATGTTTAAATAATGCAAAAATTCAAGTAACATAGAAAAGGCAAAAGTCCCACATTCCCACCACACAGAAAACTATTGTAAACCTGTTGGACTATGTCTTTCTAAATGTTTTTCTATGTGTATATGGATATCTACCTATGGATGTTGGATTTTATGGATACCTTTTAGTAATATATATGGATATCTTCTTTGCCAACAGATATTCATCTGTATTTTAATTTTTAACTTGTAGATAGAATTCCACTGCGTGGATGCACTGTAATTTATATTAAATTAATCTGCTGTTGATGTTAGATTATTGCCAAGTTTTCAGGAAGTTTCTGAGTTTGACAATTCCCTTTACAGGAGGTCCCAGTGACTTACTTCCTAACTCAGAGATGGAGATATCAGGCTCATCTTCTACCACTTCTGAGCAGCAGCTTCGAAGACGAGAGGGACTGAACAACACCAAAACAGATGTGGCCAAGCAGAGTCTCATCTCATCTGAGCAATGGCTCCAACTGCATGGGCTAAAGAGCAACAAATTGACCTTGAAACAGATTTTGTCACAAATTGGATTTCCACACTGTGAAGGTAGAGTACTGACAGAACAATGCTGGCTGGAAAACCCAGCCAGCATGCTGTCTGTTAGCCTCTGAGGAGGCTGTGTTAGTTCTGTAGGTCCCTCAAAAACAATGGGTCTCTGTGCTTGTTTTGATCTCACCTCTTTATGGGCAAAAGATGTTTGCACCCTAATGTGTGTATATTATATAATGTACATTAATCCACACACTAAATATTAGTAATGCTTAATTTCATTCTTTCTTTTTTGAAAAATGAAATAGAAATTATTTGTATTTATCCCCTGGGATGTGCTGCCCCCTCTGGGAGGTCATTGATGAAAAAAATAGCCATGTGTAGTTTTAGGAAGAGTGTGCTATTTCCCTGTTGTGGCCTGCCTCATGTTGTAGTCGAGTTCTTCCCGAAAGACATTAGTTTGAGTGTTGGTTCTCAACTGCCATGAATACCACCCTCCAACAGGGAGTGTGGCAATATGTGAGGATTATGGATTATGCTGGCTTTATAAAATGTTTGGGAATATTTACTCTTCCTCCTCTATGTTCAGATGTCATAGATATATGATTAGTACTATTTCTTCTTTAAATATTTGATAAAACTCAGCAGTGAAACTTATCTGAGCCTAGAGTTTTGCTATTAGGAAAAGTTTGATAAGAAATTCCATTTCTATAATAGACATAATCTGAATAGCTATTCAGATTTTTTCAGATTTTTTCTATAATCTGAATAGCTATTCAGATTTTTTTGTTTCATCTTGCCAATTTGGGAAAGGTGTGTTTTTCAAGGAGTTTGTTAATTTCATCAGTTTTTTTTTAAGCATATTGGCAAAATGTTCACAATATTCCCCTAATATTCCCTTTTTAATGCCTGTGGAATCTGTAGTAATCTCCCTCTTTTACTACCAATATTAGTAATTTGTGTCTCTCACTTTTTCTGGACAAGTCTTGTTAGGGGTATATCATAACTCCTTTCAAAGAACGAAATTTGGGGTTTGTTGATTTTTCCATTTTTTGTTTTCTATTTCATTGGTATTTGCTTTGATCTTTATTATTTATTTTCTTCTACTAACTTTGAGTTTAATTTGAATTTCTTTTTCTAGCTTTTAAGCTAGAAACATAGATAATTGATTTTAAGCCTTTTTTCTCTTCTAATGTAGTCATTTAAAATTATAAGTATTTCCTCAAGCATTACTTTAGCTGAATCCCACAAATCTTGATAGGTAGTGCTTTCATTATGATGTTCAAAAATATTTTCTTTTTTGTATTGTAACTTTTTTCTCTGATTCATTTTTTAAAGAAATGTATTGTTTAATATCCAAATATTTTAGGACTTTTAAAGATATCTTATTTTTGTTGGATTTCTAATTTAATTCTATTGAGGTCAGAGAATATAAGATTTTAATCTTTGGAAATTTACTGAGATTTGTTTTACAGCTCAGCCTGTTTCTTGATGAACATTTCACACACACTTGACAGAATGTGTATTCTGTAGTTTTTAACATGTAATTGTAAATGTTAATTGGGCCAAGATTGTTGATACTATGATAGAGATATTCTATACCTTTAGTGACTTTTTTGTCTAGTGGATGTGTCTATTTCTCCCTTTAGTTCTGTCAGTTCAGTTTGAACTTCTTTTTGTATTAAAAAATTATTTTTCTTTTTTGGATTTTTATTTATTTATTTATGTTGTTCAAGTAAAATGCATACAGATTGAGATTGTCTTATCTTTCTGATGAATTGACAGAGTTTAATAACTTTGATTATTTTTGAAATGTTTATCTTTATCTTAGCTGGTATTTTGACATTTACTTTGATATTACTATAATTACCACAGCTTTGTTATACTTAGTTTTTACATGGCATGCATGTTTATAGTCTTTTACTCTCAAATTATCTGTAGCCTCTAAATTTAAATTATGCCTTTTTAAACCCAGTGTCATTATCTCTGTCTTTACAGTGTTTGGTTCCCTACATTTTATGTAATATTTCATATAGTTAGATTTAGGTCTAACATTTTACTTTTTGTTTTCTGCTTGTCTCATCTTTTTTTTAATACTCTGTTTCTCCTTTTCTGACTTCTTTTAGGGTAAACTGAATATTTTTTAGTATTTAATTTAATTTCATTTTTATTTTTCCATTTAAATTTCAATAGGCTTTGATTATATTTTCAGTAGTTGCTTTAGTGACTGTATCTTAGCTCATCACATTCTGCTAGAAGTTCACTCTGTACTACCATAAAATGTAAGAACCTTGTCACAGCATAGCTCTGCTTACCCCCACTCCTGTCCTCAGTGTCACTGTTTGAAGTATAGTTCATTTTTAGGTACATTATAAATCTTAAAATCCAATGTCATAACTTTTTCTTTAAAAAGTTATTTGTCTTTAAATAAACTGAGTAGAAAAATAGCATTTTAAAATCTACATATTTAATATTTACAATATTCTTCCTTCATGTAATATTTGAGGTTCCATATGGTGATTTTTCCTAAAGATTCTTTTTAAGCATTTCTGATATTATTTCAAATTCTCTTTCTTTGGATGATGGATTGATTTATACTTTTTTTTTCTGAAATAATGATAGATTCACAGAAAGTTGCGAAGGTACAAATCCCATTTTCCCCTGGTTTCCCCCATTGGCTACATCTTATAAAATTATACTACAATATCAAATCCATGAACTTAACATTGATTTGAGTTCATTGATACATGGTGTGTGAATAATTCTATGTACTTTTACCGCTTGTGTAGATTTGTGTGAGCACTACCACAAACAAGATACAGAACTATAATGATTAAAATAAAATAAAATAAAAAAAGATACAGAACTGTCACCATGCAGATCTCCCTCCCTGTGCCATGTCTTTATTGTCATACAGACCCTGGCCTTTCAACATCTTTAACCCCTCGTGACCACCAGTCTGTTTTCTGTCTCTATAGATTTCTCATTTAGAGGCTGTTTATATAAATTCTATAATATCATATGTGAGCTTTTGACACTGGCATTTTTTTCTTGCTATTATTTCTTTGAAGTTCATCCAAGTTGTTCTATGTATCAATAATTTGTTTCTTTTTATTGCAGAATAGTATTCCATGGTATGGATGTGCTACAGTTTAACCATTCACCAATTAAAACACATTTGAGTAGTTTCCAGTTTGGGGCTATTACAAATAAAGCTATGAGCAATTGTTTACAGGTTTTTGTGTGAATGTTAAGTTTTCATTTCTCTGGGATAAATGCTCAGGAATGCAATTGTTAGGTGGGATGTTAATTATATGTTTAATGTTTTGTTATGAAACTGCCATCTATTTCCAAAGTGCTTATACTACTTAATCAGTAATTATAAGAGATAGTTTTTCCACATTATACCAGCATTTGGTTTGTCACCATTTAAAAATTTTAGCTGTTCCAATAGTTGTGTAGTGATATTTTGTTGTCGTTTTAATCTATTTCCCTAATGTCTAATTTGGCTGAACATCTTTTTATGTGCTTATTTGCTATATAGCATCTTTGGGGACCTAAATGTTTATGCCTTTCGATCATTTTCTAATTAGATTATTTTTTTTAAGTTGAGTTTTGAGAGTCTGTTATGTATTCTAGAAACGAACTCTTTGTCACCTGTGCGATCTGCAGATATATCCTCCTAGTCTGTGACTTGTCTTTTAATCCAGAAGTTCTAATGATTTCTCAGAGTAAAAGTTTTTAATTCCAATTTATTCATTTTTTTCTTGTTTGGATCTTGCTGGGTTTCAAAGATTTTTTTCTTATTTTTTTCACCTAGAAGTTTTGTAGTTCACATCTTACATTTAACTTGTGATCAATTTGAGTTCATTTTTGTATAAGGTTCATTTTTTTTAACTATGGATATCTAGCTGCTCCAGCATGTTTTTTAAAATATTTTATTTATTTATTTTTAGAAAGAGGGGAAGGGAGGGAGAAAGAGAGGGAGAGAGAAACATCGATGTGTGGTTGCCTCTCGTGTGTGCCCTTCTGGGGACCTGGCCTGCAATCTGGGCATGTGGCCTGAATGGGAATTGAACCAGTGACCCTTTCTTTGGTTCGTAGGCTGGCACTTAGTCCACTGAGCCACATTGGCCAGAGCAGCTCTAGCATCTTTTATTTAAAATACTATTCTTCCTCTTTTGAATTGCTTTTGCATTTTTATTAACAATTAGGTGGTTGTATTTGTATGAGGATATTTCTGGATTCTCTATTTTGTTCTATGCATCAATATGTCTATCTCTCCACTAATTCCATGCAGCCTTGATTACTATATCTATATAATGTCTTGAAATTGGGTAAACTGATTCTTGTCTTCTAGTCTGTGAATATGGAATATCTTTTCATTTATTTACATTTTTTATTTCCTTCATCCAGCTATCTTGTAATTTTTGGTATATAAGTCTTACACATGTCTTGTTAGATTTATACCAAATATTTCATTTTTTAAGCAATTATAAGTGATATTGTGTTTTAAATTTTGTTTCCACACGTTCATTGCTAGTATACTGAAATATACTTGTTTTTTTCCCATGACATTTCTGAACTCATTAGTTCTAAGAGGTTTTTGTTGTTGTTGTTGATTCCTTGAGATTTCAAGGTAGATCATGATGTCATCTCCAAATAGGGAAAATTTTCATTCTTCCTTTCTGACCTATGTGAGAGTATGCCTTGTATTTTCTTGCCTTGCCTTGTGCTGGCTAGAACTTCCAGTACTATACTGAATAGCAGTGGTGAAAGTGGATATCCTTTCTTCACTTCAGGTCTTAGGGGAAATCTTTCAGTCTTTCACCATCAGCTATGTAAAGCAGTAGGGTTTTTTTGTAGATAAAAAAAATAAATTGAGGAAGGTCCCCTATATTCCTAGTTTTCTGAGAGTTTTTATCGTGAATGGTTGTTGAATTTTGTCAAATGAAAGAATCGTGATTTTTCTTCCCTAGCCTGTTAATATAGTTGATTATATTGATTGGTTTTGGAACAGTGAACCAGCCTTGTATCTTGGAATAAATACCACTTGG